CCACTGGGAAATCCTAGAGAACCCGGGGAATTTCAAAAACTTCTCCATAAAAGATGGGCTGATAACCCAACTTGGAGAAGGAGGGATGACCCAAATAGTAGTCCCGAAAGGAAACTACGAAAGGAAGTCCATTTGGGGGGTGGTCCTCGAAAATATCCACGAAACACTTGGACACTTAGGATCCAAGAAAACAGTGGAAACCCTCCATTGATACTTCTGGTGGAAGTTGATGAGGAAGGACACCCACAAGTTCTGCAGGTCTTGCAGAACTTGTCAAACAACAAAGAAAGCACCAGGAGAAATCCCGGACTGCTTCACCCACTCCTGACCCCGGAAACACTGTGGTTGTCAATAGCCATGGACTTCACAGGTCCATTCCCAACAAGCTTGGGATATGATTACCTCTGGGTAATCATCTGCAGGTTGACATCCAACGTCCACCTAATTCCAATAAAAACAACAACGAATGCATTAGAACTAGCATTTGTATTCCTTCGTAAGACTTCACGGTCTACCACACTCGATCATATCAGATCGAGACTCGAAATTCACGTCAAAATTTTGGTGCAAACTACACCAAATACTCGGTGTGCAGTTGAAATTCACAACTGCATTCCACCCACAAGGTGATGGCCAAGCAGAAAGAATGATACAAAAAGTAGTACAGATACTACATGCAATGGTCAGACCAGATCAACGTGACTGGGCAGCAAAGCTGTCAATGGCAGAATTTGCAATCAATGCAAGCTCGAACACATTGACAGGATTTTCCCTGTTCGAATTAATCTATGGCCACATGCCAAAGATGTGCCTAACAGCACCACCCTTGGACTACCTGGGAGTGAACGACTTTGCCCAAAAGGCGAAGGAAAACCTCATGGCAGCACATGATGCGATAATACACAATTGTGCCGCTCAAACAATCCAGGCGAATAAGAAAAGATGCCTGGACCCGCCTTTGAGAAAAGGCGAGCTTGCATACTTATCCATGGATAAGTTGAACCTACCCAAAGGAAGGGCAGAGCCCCTGTATATAGGGCCTTATGAAATTCTGGAAACATTTCCAGAGACATCAAACTATGTCCTCAAGTTGCCACCACAACTTGAACAACATGGAATCCACCCAAGATTCCACATATCCCAGTTCGCATCTCATGAGCCAAATGACCAAGAAATCTTCCCAAATAGGGAAGTAAACATATTTTACGATTTCAGGGAAGACCCCGATCACAAAGCAGTAGTTTGCGAAATCTTAAACCACGCATGGGTTCATGATGATTAAGGTTAAATGGGAGCTAGGGGATACCACATGGGAACCCCTAGGAAATTGCAATGACCTCGTCCACCTGGATGAGTACCTCACATTACAAAATGTGAGGGAACCAGAAAATCTCCCTATCAAAGAAGATAGGGAACTCTCGGCATCACTATGCCCCCAAAAACGGAGGTGGAAGAAGTAAAGCCAAAGGGCGATTGCCCACAGCCAAGAGCGTGGGAAGATTCTGGGCGAGCAACTCACCCAGACAGCCACACCATGTGCTAGACATCACATGGGCTAGGAGTAACCTACCTAGATCACGTGAACCACAGGCTCACATGTAAAACCACACACACTTGCGGTGAATCCCATGCATGCAAGAACCTAAACCCCTCCCACCACCACAAGAAACAAAACAATGAAAATGTCATTCTCTGGGGGAGGCAACCCTCAATTTGATCTGAACAAGCTGCCAGACATTGAGATACGACAACCTGGGGAGCAAGGCTCCCCGGAACAACAACAACACCAGGTGCAGATAAGCATCATGGACTACATGATGCACGCGGCACAAATGAGTGCCACAAACCAACAACCATCCATGATGCCAACAGGCACTGCATACCCCCAGCCTCCTCAAAGGGGCTTCCAACCATACGCAGTGCAAACTGCACCAATGGCACAACAAGTGCCATTCCAGGGGCAGCATTTGCTGCTGCAGCCCCAGGCATACTCCCCAGGGAACTTCCCTGGCCAAATCACCCTCTGGATCAGCCAATTCGGCCCAGGTCCAACAACACCTCAGCCAAATGCAGGCTGGGAATCAGCTATCACATCAGTGGTAGCTGCTCAGACAGGTCACTCCATCAGGAGCTGAAAGAGATGAAGTCCCTCGTAGGAGGGAGATGAGGGAGCGACAGCAGCTCCTTGTCCAGGCCATCCAAACGGGGACAGTCTGATAACTCAAGGGCATCAGATGACGCCTGCAATAATTGCACCCATTGGAGGTGCAAGTACAATAGAGCATGAAGAGATGCTGAGGGCATCTTCACCTCTCTGAAAGACAGAGAGAGAAGTCGATCTCCAAAAGAGGGAGATCGAATTACTAAAATGCGAGCTCAAAGAGGCATGCGCACTGGCAGACCTTGCTGCCAAACCCATCATGATGGGGGCCTCCCAGGTCAGGGGGAGGGGATACAGTGCTGGGGCATCGACTATCCCGCCACCCTGTGGGCAGGTGACCCTGTCCGGGTTGCATAAGGGCCCACCCTCAGAAGGGCAAACTGTCAGAGACCAGGGTCGAGACGAAGGAATGTCTCCGTAACGGAGGGCTTCGGCCTCAGTGACTTCTGCCAAGAGCGCTGTGCCTAGTGACACGTCCGTGCCCTAACTTACTGACTGGCAATTAGAACCTAGGGGGGTAACTCTAGTTGATTTTTCTACTGGGGCGTAACCTATGTACAAGTGGGATATATATATGGTTACAGCGGAGATGGTTCCGCAATTGGCGGAGCCGAACGGAGCGGAGCTAACGGGGTTTAACCATTAGCCGACTGAATATTACCGACGAGTCGGTTCGCGGGGTTAGCGGAAAGGCAGGCGATAACCCAGAAACGGAAAGGAGGGATAAGCCCGAAGGTGGACTCTGCAGGGCAGGCGAGTGTATTGCCCAGCGGAGGCGGGGGTGCGCTAGCGGACGTCGGAGCTGTCCGGAAGTCTTCGGGGCTCCGTACTTAGGGAAGCGTAGGTAATAAATTGAAATGAGGGGGTGGTGACCATCGAGGGGTACCGAGAGGATTGCGGAATAACGGGGGCTCCGAGGTTAGTGAGGGAGGAGCGGAGTTGGAACGGAGGGATCGGAGGGACCGGAAGTCGATGGCCGGGAATGGATATGACACAAACCCATGTCAAGGGGAAGAGGGAGAGTGGTAGGCAACCGACAGCAGACCCCAAAACGGGGACCACTCCCAGAGGCGGTGGGCCACTGAGTACCTCAGCACCCTATGGGCAAGCTACCCTGCAGGGAAGTGTCCACATGTTATACGAGACCGCCAAACTCAACGAGTTTGGTAAAGTTGAAGCTCCAGTCGACATAACAATCGACCCCAACTTCCCCATGAGGAGAATAGCGGGGTCAGAAGCGGCGCACAACGCCGCATACGCTTGGTGGACAAGCGTGAGTGGAAAAGAATTCATACACTGGTATGAACAGGCCGAAGCCGCCTTTAAAAGCGGCAAGGTACATAGAGTCCTTTGCGAAAAAGCGAAGGAAACCGAGAAATACTTCTTGGGACTCCTGAGTATTGCAAGACTCGTGGAGGAGTACAATTCCCTGGAGAACAAGGGAAAAATCTCCTGGGAAAGTCTAGGCAAAGCTGCCTATATAAAGTCCCAGTTCAAACCACTCAGGACTCCTGAGGAATGCACTGCAAGAACTGCGGAGTGGGAAGCGAAAGCTTCCAAATACCGGGAAAGAGACGCAAGGCTCTGCGCTGGACAAACAGGCCAGCGACCACCCATCCCCACAGGAAGAACGGTAGACTTACCATACTCTACACCTGAGCCAAGTAGCTCAGGAATGCAACAACCTGCTCCCACCCAGGGAGTGCCCACTTCGTCAAGCCCACAGCTCGACAATGTAGCCCAGGCTATGTCATTGCATCCAATGCAGCAATCAGATGTCCAGATGAACAACCTGGAGGAAAAGCCTCCTCCAGGGCAATAACTCTACCCCTGAGGAAAGGGAAAGTGACACGGTAATACGCCATTGAGGTGCCCATGAAAACACCTTCCCCCAACTCGAGGCCCCACACACAATATTGTATGCAAGGAACCGCAAGTAACAATTGCGGAAATCTCTACTTCGTCAAAACTGTCATATCCATACCAACTCCGCCTCACCTCTGCTCTACAGTTGAGCCCAGGCAAAGCCTGGAAATTTTCTACAGCAGCTTGTGCTGAATATATAAGCTTCATTTCTCCACCAGACAACTCCTTTTCGATCTAGCTGCCAAAAATACAATGTTCAGATATTTACCTGTTTTTTTTAGCTGCAGCAAAATTTTTGACCCAAAATCCAAATGTTTTTTTTTTTAATAAATCTGTAGCCACTATGTAACAAGAGAATTAAAGGAGATTTAAATACAGGAGTTCAGCTAGCATACATTGATTGATCTGGCGGAAGAATATCTAATTCAGCCATAGTGTCAGGGTGTGGGAAAACGTTACCGTGACTCGCCATCAGCGACCGTTAGGGTCCGCTACTCCAGCGTAACAGCCCATTAAGGGTGGGGATGACAATCACGGCGAAATGGGGTTTCGGCTTCAATGACTCGTTCGTGAGCGTTGCACCTCGTACTTGATGCAGCCCCGATATTTCAGAGGGCAGAGGGTGCGACTGAGTCAGACAGGGAGTGCAGGGGATAACCCTAGTTGATTTTCGAACTAAAGTACGAGGTAGTATACAACCGGTATTTAAGTGAATAGAAATAAGTCGCCAGATCTCATGGAGATTGCGGGTGGGCTTAAGAAGGAACGAAAACAAACAAAGAGCGTGGGAGGAGGACGGCTGTGCACGGCCATCAAGAAAAACAAGCGTGATAAGGAATGACTCATAGGCCCGTGACAGGCTGTGGAACAGGTAGCAGTAATGGGGAGGGGTGATGGGCTTGTCCAGGTGGTGTTGGGTGGGCAGTGGAGTTGACAGGGTCAAAGCGGAGAAGGGAGAAGGTGTGGGGAGTGGTCACATGACCGTGGGAATTGCCAGGTCGTGACACATAGCATCCTCACATATAGCACGATGACTCTTTTGTTTCTTCACAGCCCAGGCTGCAAGCTTCCCAGTAAGGCCCTTCCGGTAGGCATCCATGAAGTGCCAAGCTCGGTTGATGAATTTTCTGTTGATGAGCGACACTTGATCTCGGAGCTGGACTATGAGCAAATACTCAGTCTCAGCTAATATGTGTGAAGAACTAAATATATTACCTATGAGCAAATACTAGAGGTAATATACATAATATAAGTTACAATGATAAAACAATGAGGGAATGTAACTAACCTCAGTCTCAGCTAATATGCATGAAGAACTGAGGGAAAAGGAAATGAATGAATATATCCGTGGCCTGGCATGGATTAGTCCGAAATAATATAAAGGAGGTCTTGTGACTAAGTAGTCACATGGTGGATTCTGGGCAAGTTGCTCTCCCAGAATGTTCCCACGCTAACGCAGGAATGTGGCTGTTCAGGTTAGCTCCATTGGAGTACCCTCATAGCACACGGTTCCTCCAACATTTTTGAATTGTTTCATCTGGACATGCATCCAAACACTGTATCACTGCTGTTTTTGCATTGGCAAAAGTAGTTTTCCATATTTCACGATATCGGTATTTTGCATAACCCCAATACTATAGATGTTATAGTTAGAAATTGGAACTAGTTCAGACAAGAAAGGTTTTAACACACCATCTCAATCGGGTTCAACTCACAGTGGAACTTCAGCAGGAATTGCCTGCGTAATTAATTCTTCCAGCATTGAGACCTGATTTACAAAATCAGCCTGATGACTGAGAATGCGGGCAAGGCAGCAGTCTGTATTTTCAAATGGGCAGACAGGCTTGCACTTAGCTCGTTTCCCATGTGTATTGAAACCGCGCTCCATCAAGACAGCCTCAAGGCCCTTGGGTTCACCTGCTTTGGTCACCATTGACTGAGGCATCCCCCACTTTGAGCAATCAGGGACAGTGTCATCATTTGGGATAACAGTGTCATGCCGCTTTCGTTGTTTTCCACCATTAGATTTGTTCATATCAAATGCATTGAGAGCATTGGGACCGAGTGATGCATGCGCCGAAGACTGATCAAATATGAAGAGAGCCTGGCAGTTTGGATGAGCATGTTCAAAAATTGGGACTGCCTTTGTGTGGATCTGCTCTAGAAGTTGCTGAGTATCCCACCAAGGGTCACCATTGGCACCGGGGTAAATGATTTTGCGAGCATCATTCCCCTCCGAAACTATTCCATCATTGTCCTGGATGATGAGTCAGCCACTTTCTTCATTTATAAAGTCGGAAACATGGATTAGACAGCCTCGACTCTTTTTCTGGAGCACAGACTGCCCCTTGGAAAGCCTTTCATTATAATCAGTTTGCACCACATTCTTCATTGAAATTGATGTGATGCTCACCAGGCACTTCTCTTGAACTTGTTTGTGTGGAAACAGCTCTCATCGTGCCAGATTGGAATGATCTGCTTTTCATTCTCACCCAGCGCTGGCTCATTTCGCTCCAGAGAGGTGCCATTGAAGACATGCTGGACCATTCTGTGTCAGGGACCGACCCGGGGTCAAGAGTGCCTGGGTATATCACCCGGGGCTGAGGGCTCGGTGGGGTGCGGCGCGGGTGTGCATAACAACGGGCCTGAAGCAGACAAAGGTCCCTGGCCACTTAGGCTAAAGTGGGAAGTGTGAGAAGAAGGTTGCTTCTCAGTTCCCACTTAGGCTGTGTTTATATACATGTAGTTAAGGCCATGTCATCTGCGCACACAGCCACGTTGTAGGGGTGGTGGTCACAGACACCCCAGAACAGGCGATATATCGGGTCTCACATGCAGGATAAAATGTTAGAAAACATACAGTGGAAGGTTGGCTAGGAATTAGGTGATGAGGTTATAGTATGGATGGTAGAGGATGTCGAGGCGATTTCGACGCACATTACGTGAGGAGGATCGGTGAGATATTGACAGAGATATGCAGATTTCAGTTGTGTAACGCGATGCATGTCACATGTTCATTGCACACATGTGGGAAATGGGGTGCACAGATGGTCCCTGGCAAAAAATGGGGATAAATATCCATTGTTCATGGTATGGTTGTTCGGGAGGATGTGCCAATTTTGGGACCATGGCGACATGTGGTTGGAAAGTTAGGAAAATGTGCCGGATATTCCCCACCTCAACGCTATCTTACTCAATTCTCCATCAAATTGGATGCGGTTTGTTGCGTTGGATAGCTGTAGTTTAGGCGAGTTGGTTGACATGAAGGGAGCGCAGTTGTGTCAAGTGGTTTGGGCTGGAGATGCAGGTTGGGCTTTCTGCGGCCACTTTCTATTGTTTATAATTTGTTGCTTGTGATATTGTGTTTCCTATTCTATTTACTCTTGCGACGTGACCAGATGAGTCATATGGAACATGCTGGAAGCTCGCAGACGTGTTTTCAGGGTTGTTTGTATATAAAATTAGCTAGTTACATTTGTAACAGAGATTTCCCCTCCGCTACGTTTAGATCTGGTCACCAAGTGAAGTGTGCTGGAGGCGTGGTCGAGTGCAGTAGTCTTGAGGGAGGCAAGGTAGCCTCACAGTGTCCTCAGGGAGATCCACACCGAGTTATAGGATGCCGAGTCCCAGTTGAGTTTTGAGTTCGGTCTTGATTCTGTCCAAGAAAGCTGCTTGCTGGCCCCCTTTTTTGTTTCTCATCCTGCTGGGTGGGAGTAGGTGTGGTGCGAAGTAGTTGAGGTGGTGGTGATCATGGTGGTAGGTTGGTGCACCGCTGTGCCATGCATCCATTCCCTATCCGGTCCCCGATCCCCCTTGTGTGCTCCACTACCCCGCTTGCAACGTCTGTCCGGGTATCTCCACAAGAGATCCCAGGAGCACCTGGTGTGTGGGAGGCCACCCGGTGGGTCCGGGCGTGTTGTACTGCAGCCGGGCCAATGGTACACTGATAGGAGGGAAGTCGTCCATGTAATAAGTAAGGAAAGAAAGAAAAGAGAAAGGAGGGAGAAAGAGAGGAAGAGAAAAGGGAAGAGGAAGTAGGGAAGGAGTGGGTAGCGGGGAGCCAGGTCTGGTGGGTGACAGGGGACCGGGTCAGCTGGGGCCGGGTCTGGTGGGTGTGCCCTGACATCACCCCCCCCTTAAGCCGCTTTGCCTCGAAGCAGCCAGGCGGTTCTCCCTCTCTCTTCCTGGAGCCTGGGGGTGCGTCCTGTGGAACTCCTCAATCCGGTTGGGGGCATGGGCCAAGTGGTCCTGCTGGAGCCATTGGTTCTCTGAGCTTGGCCAGCCCGTGAACTTTACCAGATACCAGAGTTTCCGGTGTAGCCATTTAGAGTCCAATACTTTCTCAACTTCGTACTCCTCTTCTCCATCTACAAGTTCCGGGCCTGGGCGGGGGTCAGGGGGTCGTTCTGCAATCTCGTCTGGGCGGTGGGGTCTTATGTTCGTCACGGACACAACTGGGTGTACTCCCTTCTGCCGTGCAGTGAGCTGGAGCTTGACAGCAGCCAGGGAGACGACTTTGACGACCTTGAAGGGACCTAGCCACTTATGGTCCAGCTTCTTGGTCAGATGGTCAGTTGTATAGTTTTGGGCGTTGAGCCAGACTTGGTCGCCTTCCTGGTACTTGGGGGCTGCCTCCCAGCCTCGGTCATAGTAGTGGGCCATCTCATCTGCTGCATGCTCCAGAGCTGCCTTCGCCTCCTCCTGCATCTTCATCATCCTGGATGAGAAAGCGTCAGTGGCTTCTACCTCGGACGTTGAAAGAGAGAACGAAGGAAGGTCAGTTGGGAGGTTCAAATGAGACCACCACCAAGCTGTTCCCTGGTTCTTTAGTTAGGATGGGGAAGTGTACTAGTATTATTTATTGTAAATATAGTACCAATCCGAGTGTTTTGGCTAATTCTATTTTTATGGGTTAGTTTTAAAGTTCCTGGGAATTGACTTACAGATAAACCGAGCCCTGTGGAGCTGTTTCTTTATTGAAATTTCTTAATTTGTCTAGGTGTAATTCTGTGTAGCGTTGTTTAATTTGGAATTTAACTTGAATTTAATCTTCTACTTGGTGAAGTTTCAAAGGTTCTATTCAGTTAATGGATTTGGATTGCGTCTGGAGTGTCCCTTGGGTTTGTTTTATTTTTGTCTTATTTTATTGCTTGTTTTAACAGTAGCAAGATAACTGTTTTGTGTTTACACTTTGAAATCTGGAGTGTTAACCAGCTCTCCTGTTGAAATATTTACTTAATATTTCTCTCCTTAATTGCTGCCTTTTACTACAGTGGCAATCTTAACTGTATATCACTTTTTCGCGCTGGAGTGACAACCAGAAATGCTTGAGAAAAATAATACTTTATTTTCTTACTTCTCTAAGGGGGGCGAAAAGTCGCAGAAAGGGTCTCCCTTTTATACTCCTTTGGTCGCCTTCCTTTTTCACGCTCTACCTTCTATTTACAGGATTTATTTACAGTGTATTTTTCTCAAACTGAATAAAAAATGAAATTTTCACGCTATAGTTCTACTGCGCTTTTGCTGCGCTGAACTGCGGTTCTACTGTGGTCAGACTGCGCCTAGAATCCTTATTGTCCTCCCTCGCCTAAGCTATTTTAATGGTTAATTAGAACTTGGCTGTGCTGCATTTGTCGCAGTTACCTATTTCAAATTCCCTATATATACCATTAAATTTGCTATGACTCGATGATTCTGAATTCAAACTTCGCATTACTATGCGTACAGCTGTGCTGAGACCTTCAGCTGATTTATTCCATTTTTATTTAGTGACATTTAGTTAAAATGAGACTGAAATGGTAAATGAGTGAATTATTAACTGAAAGAAAAAGTTGCTAGTAGTCAAGAATTACTCAAACGAATGTGTTATAGCTCTCCACTTCATTAGAATATCGTTCCCTAAAATTCCCGCCATGGTCCATCGTAGTTTAGTGGTTTTTGTGAATTTCGTTCATATTCCCTGATTCCCCTTTGTATTATCACATCCTAATCCTCCATATGTATTGTTCGTTGTTATAGTAGGTCGTCCTTGAAGATATCATATTTTTATGTATTTTATTTAGGACTCTGGACCTCTTGAAGCTGTCTTCCCACGCATTTTCAGGTTTCTAACTTCATGTCCTTGTATCTCATTCATTTCTGGATGTTTTCTCACGTTCTTGGTATCATAAATTTTCATTTATTCCCACCTTTCCAATGGTACTAAGGTTGTGTCCTATTTCCTGGTATTCGTTGAGTTAGCAAAGTTCGCGTGCACATTTGGTAATCATGTGTGTCGTTCCCATAGTCGTTCGTATGTGGGCGCCATTTCCATTTAATTGTTTGGGATTTATGATATGCGCAGGTGTTTATATCTTTCATATGGGCTTCTGTGATTTATTTCAGATTTTTCCCTCATGATCTAAGGTTGTTTTGCACTTTCCGTGCTTTGTTTTGACCGGGCTCTTCCTTATTTGGATGGAAATTGGTCTTCGCAATCTGCCGAAGTGCGGATCTCGGTTCCGATGGCCAGTTCCCTGCGCATCGCCACCCTCACGTGTCATTACACATGATGCGGATTTCTATATTCCCGTCATGGGTATAACTTCACAACGGCTGGACCGTTTGGGCTGAAAATTTGCACAACTATAGTTCCCCATTTTTCATAATTTCCGTGTAAATTTCGTTGTATGCTTTAATTATGGATCCTACGCAAACATCGTCTTTTCCCTGAGCTCGGACTTTTGATGTCGCTATTC